CCCTCCCCCCCAGCCCGCCTCCTCCAGCGTGCCCCTTTCGGCCAGGCGCGGGGCGTCCCAGCGCCGTGGGGCTTCTGCCCATTCCTCTGGCCCCCGCCCTCCTCCTCCCCGTCCCCCCTTGGCCGCCTTCGGCGTCCTTGACCACACACACCGAAGCGCGCGGCGCGGCGCGGCCCAATGGCGTAAGTCCCCCGCCGGAGCGGCCGTGCTCCCAGTCACAGGCCAAGAGCACAAGCATCCTGAAACAAACCGCCGTAGTCGCTTCCACCGGCAGCCGCGCCCCTCGAGCGCCGGACAAGGCCGAGCCGAGGGGAGGACCGGGCGAAGGCGCGCACGCGCGCGCATGCGCTGGCCACCGGCTCCCGGGCGCTCCCACAGTCTGCCCAAGCGCGTTCGAGCATCTCTCCCGGCACACGCGAGCGCCTGCCCGTACGCATGCGCGCATGCGCCGCGGGCCACACCCGCACGCCCGCAGCAACAACAACAACACCATCGCAAGTACCGGACGCCACACACACACATGCACACATGCACACATATGAATCGTCGCCGCACGGTTGGGGCAAGATCAGCCCTGTGAAGGCCGACCCTGGTCCACCCACAACCCAGGGGAGGGGGCAGGAGCCCCGGCGCGCCGGTCCCCGCCCACCGCCGGGGGCCGCAGGAGAGAGCGAGCAGGGGCGCGCGGGGGCCGGCGCGGGAGTATCCCCTTCCCCCCCTGGCCGCCCCCCTCCCCCCCTCCCCCTGCCCCCTCCCCCAGGCATGGCTGCCATCGTCCTGCTCAGGGGCCACTTTGGCCTCTGTATTGGGTGCTTTTTCTCCCACTCCCATCACCCCGGTCCTCCCCCGAGGACCGCGCGCCAGCACCTCCCACCTTTGCACCTCTCCTCGGCACTCGCCTGCTCGCCTGCTCGCCTGCTCGCCCACGCGCTCACACGCCCGCACGCCCACACGCCCGCACGCCCGCACGCCCGCACGCCCGCACGCCCACCCAGACCTCCTCCACTCTCCTCACTCTCCTGCTCGACTCGCGCATCGAGCACATCCACCCGCACGCACACCCACACTCCCCCGCAGATCCCCCTGCCCCCCTGCCCCCCTGCACACCCCTTGCCCCCTATCGCTGGAGGACATCCGAAGATCCCGCCCTCCCTCCCCTTCCCCCCGAGCGGCATCGCCTTTTCCACTGCCCCCCGCGCCTGGCTCCCTCGCCAGCAGCTAGCCGCACCGTCCTCCTACTCCCTCGTCCCGGGCTAGATCGCCTTCTGGCTGCCATCGCTGCCGCCGCCTGCCTTCCCCTCCCCCCCCCTCTCTCTCTCTCTCCCTCCCCCGCCGTCTCCCCGTCTCGAAGGCCACAAGAGGGTACGTCCTATTGTCACCAGATCCCGGCTCCGGTCCACACGGGCCACCCGCTCTTGCCACCGGCCATCCTCTTGCGCCTTTCCTCGCCCCCTCCCCGGGGGGAATAGATCCCTGTCTTGCTGCTCTCCGGCCGCCTTTTGCTCCAATGGCCCCCACCCCTCCCCATGCATTCTAATCCATCCCCCCTCCCTGCGTTCCTCCGCCCCTCTTGCTTCCCCCCCACCCTCCCCCGGTCACTCTCTCCTCCTTTAACTCCCGTCTGCGGCCTCCCCTCCTCTCTCTCTCTCTCTCTCTCTCTCTCTCTCTCTCTCTCTCTCGCGCGCGCGCTCTCTCTCTCTCTCTCTCTCTCCCGCCTATCTCAGAAGCACGTTGCCCTCGTGGCCGGCCGTCATCCCTCCCGCACTCCCCTGCTGAGGCTTCGACCGCCCGCCCGCCACCCAGCCCTTCTATCGTATTCCGTGCTCTTCCTCCTCCACCTGGTGCTCCACCTCGCCGGTCCCCTCGAGCTCGCCACCATGAAGAGGGTCAAATCTTCACCATCACCTTCACAGTCACTCCCACAGCCACACCAGCACCATGCACACTACGTGCACGCACAGGGGCACCCCTCACAGCAGCAGCAGCAGCAGCAGCAGCAGCAGCAGCAACAACAACAGCAGCAGCAGCAGCAGCATCACGCCCTTCAACATCAGCAGCACCAGCAACAGCACCCGCAGCACCAGCAGCACCACCACCACCACCACTACCACCAGCAGCCGCAGCCGCAGCCGCAGCCGCAGTCACAACAGCCGCATCCCGCCTACCAGCAGCCGCAGCCCCTTGCCTCTTTCCAGCAGCCGCCCGCGCCTTCTCGACACTACCATGCCAATGTGGCTCCCTGGCAGCAGGAGTCCCAAGCGCCCGAGGCCGGGGTTGGTCGCGGCGGGCACGAGGATCGCCGCAGCTCCCTGGCCGCCATCGTGCCCGACGACTCGCAGGATGACTCGCGCGACGACTCGCCCGGGCGCGATGATGAGGATGCCCTGGATGGGCCCCGGACCCGGGGCGGTGCTGGCGGCAATGCGGGCCGCCAGAAGATCAAGATCGAGTACATCGTCGACCGTCGAAGCAATCATGTACGTGCCGGTGTGCCGGCGCCCTCCCTGCCCTCGGCTGCCGAGGACACCGTGCCCTTGCGTGTGTCTGTTCCTTGCTACTGATCCATATGTGTCCGCCTCCCGATGCCCCCCCTCCCGATGCCCCCTCGGCCCTGTGTCCCTCGCGCCCCGAGCAGGTCACCTACCAGAAGCGCAAGTTCGGCCTCATGAAGAAGGCCTGGGAGCTGAGCGTCCTCTGTGACTGCAGCGTGTCGGTCATCATCTACAACAATTCCCTCGACCGGATGTCCCACTACACGAGCGAGAACTTTAACAGCATCCTCGGCCACCTGATCAAGATGTCCGCACACCGGCAGTTCGCCAATCAGCACGGCCAAGACAAGTACCGGCCCTATTACGAGCTGCGTACCAACGAAGATGCCGCCTACGTGCGTCCCCCGGCCTGCATGCCTCTTCGCCGTCCTTCCCCTCTCGCCATCATCGGTGCACTTCCCCCCGTCCCCGGCGCTTCGTGCATCACCTCCCAGCCCCCTCGCCCTGACCTGGCACCACTGACCCCGGCACTATAAACAAACAAAATGAAAACACCCCCCCCCCCCCCCCCCC